GGAGCAGAGAGAGAGGATCTCCTTAGTCTCCCAGGAAATGGATCCCAAGTGAAGACAATGTTAGCACGATTGGGGCAGGAGGAATAGGCAGCAAATGTCACCAGTTAAAGCAAGAGATATAAAACCCTATGGAATGGAAAATATTGTAAGAAAGAAAAGGAAAACATTACTATAATGTGTAAACTAGCTTGAAATTACACAATATTTATCTAGTCATAACAGTGTATGATTTTTTTATGATTCTTGTGTTCAGAACATGGTAGTTGAATAGCTAAATGAATTTATGAATTAATTATGAACATACAATAAATGTTTGTTAACAGATACACTCTTATCTGAGTTCTACTTTTCCAAATCAATGTAATTGCTTTCGACTATTAAGTCAGTAATAGCAATTTATTCTATAAATATACTTTGCAAGTAATAACCCCTATATTGAAATCTTGCATTTTAAAATACATTCTTTAAATGCAAGACTTGAGTGAGCAAATCTGAAAACTTCAGACATGCATATATTTTGGAAAATTCTTGTTTAAGCCCTTCATTTTGTAGATAAGAAATCAGAAAAGAGTGACTTGTTTACATCATCTAGAAACTGTGGCCAAGTGGTGAGGATCCCAGTGCAAGCTACTGGGACAGTGAGACCTTTGCCCTCTACTTACCGTACACCTGGAGCTTTTCAATCAGCGTTTCTACATCAATGTGTAACTTGCTTTCAATAAAGTTTCTTATAAATTTGATTCTCAGTGTTTCCTAAAGGAAAATAAAACAGTTTAAAAAAATAATCACATCATTGTTACTTACCAAACATACTTTTTATGTATATTTCTTTTAGCATATTAGAAAAAATGCACAATACTGAATTCAATTAAGGAAGTTCTGTACACTTCACAATACATAATGGATAATAATTGCTTATGATTTTATTTTTCAATGAAAAATTTAAAACTTCAGCTTAGATTGTAGTTATAATTATCCATCAACACTGAAAACAAAGAATGAAAAAATACTGACTTTTTGACAAATTTTCTAGCAAAACTATATAGTGACTCTACATTGCCTAGCTCATTGCCTAGTTTCCCAGCATCTTTACAGAAAGAGGCTCACTGCTATAAAAGACGGGACGAATGCTTTCAGTGTTTTCTCAAACCATCTCTTTAATCCTTCATTATTCAAATCCTCATCTTTGGAAATACCCCTTTCACATCAACATCTGTATTATTCTTCTTTCATTACTGATGTTCTAATTCTTCGCCTTATTTGCCAATGGCCTTACTTTGGAGAGTTCTTCAGAATTATTTTAATCAAATTAATGAAATGCCATGTCTTTATTTTGTAGTTGGCCTGCTTTTACTTGCATTCTATCACCACACATTTATAACATCCTACTTTCCACAATATAGTGAAAACTGATGTTATAGCATCAATCCCGGATTATGTAGACAGAATATCTGTGTGGGGACAAATTTAGGGTTTGTCACTTCACTGAAGTATATTTAACCATTCTCTATTGTGTCTAATGCACAACTTTATAACTTGAGAACTTCAAATAAAGAAATCACAAATAACTTATCCCTGTGCATTTATTATTTCACTTCTTATATTCATTTATTTATATGTGATATTATCAGTTCTGATCTAAGGGTACTAGGACTTCATTATAAAACCATGGCATTCACTGTTATAAAATATAATTTACCTTTTTGTATTGGGCTTTGGATATTTGTGAAATATTGTATTGGATGTTTCATATATGTTAGTTATTTGATCTCAACGTCTCCAGGGGATGCTATTTTTAACTGACTAAAGGAAGTCAGATGCCATTATTAACAAAAGCACTAGCAGCTTCCTCTGTTAGCAGGTCTAGGTGTCACCTTCTGTCAACGTCAGGACATCACAAACTTTCCCTGACCTTCGTGCAAGTGCTACAAAATGGACACAATTCACCACATTTTCTCCTCTAAGATTAAAAGTTCAAGTGTATGAATATGGGACTTAATTTCTAACATGACTATGTTGTAAACAGTACTTAGTTAACAGTTTCTTACCAAGAAACTCCCTGATTCTTAAGGCCAAATTAGGCATTCTCCGTCACCTTATTATATGCTTTGTAGAATCTCAATTTGTCACATGTAATATGTAATTGTAATTGTGATGGACTTCTTATCAAAGTCTAAACTATTTATATCTGTCCCAACATAGAAAAAGTCTTTATTCCTATATTTAAAAATCAACCCAGTCATAGTGACATCTACACAGTCACATCTAATCCCCTATCCCTTTGTGTGTTATACTACGTTGTTATCTATTATAAACAAAGTTCACTTCAACATTTTCCTATGTTTTTCTGTCATCCTTATAGTCTAGCAAGACTAACCCAGGAAAAACCAGATGAATTAAAAAATCTCATCATATTGGAAATTAAAACAGTAATTTAAAAAATATTCCATAAACAAAATCTCAGTATTTGACTGCTTTACAAATGAATTTTATCAAACCTAGTTATAAATAATAACTAACACCCACCTTGATAAAATTTTTTTGAAAATACAATGATATTTCTCCCTAATACACTTTATAATGCCAATAATGAAACCAGATAAAGGTAGCAAAAGAAAAGTATAGACCTATATCTCTGATGAGCATCAATGGAAAAATCCTCAACAAAATACTAGGAAATTGAATTCAACAGTTTAGTACAACATTTATAGACCATGACCAAGTGAGATTTATCTCATGGATACAAGGGGTATTAATAAATGTAAATTACTTCGTGCAATAAATATTCACAAAATCAAAATTGAATGAATTTAGATATATTGAAAGCTTTTTATAAGATTCAGCATCCATTTAAAAAATCTAAACAGCGTGGTAATAAAAAAAAACCTACCTCAATATAATAAAGGGCATATATCAATATAATAAAGGTCACATATCACTAATCAACAGTCAATATAATAATTAATGCTGAAATATTCTCCCTTAAGATAGGCATCCATCAAGGATGCTTATTGTCACCACTTTTATTTATGTTAGAGGTTTTAGTCAGAGTTATCAGACTCTAAATGTCCCTTAATGGATGAATGGATGGACAAGTTATGGTATAGCCATATCATAAACTATCCAGCTTGCTGAACTACATAAGATGAAATGCAATCATTTTCAGCAAAATGGAGGAAGTTAGAAAGTACTATACATAGCAAGGTAAATCAGAATAATAAAAACAACTGAACATTTACAAAGCAACACAATTCAATCACGTAAAACACTTTAAAAATCAGTGAACATCAACATGCATTTTGAGGGCTCTACGTAAGAGAAAGATGGGAAGCAAAGGGACAAGGTGATGTAAGGGATAAAGTAGAGAAGAAATAAAGAGTACGCAAGCATTATTGCCATAGCCAACAAGAAGCTTACAGGGAATTTAGCTTATTTAGCTCTGTGGTACATTGCCTAACACAAAGAAACAGAAACAAGAAAAAGTTATGAAAAAATAAATATAATTTTGTTAAAGTGGTAACAGCTTCCTTAGCATTCTTCATTCCTCTTATGTATGTATGTTTGTATGAATGTATGTCTGTATGTATATTTATATGTAAACAGTATGCAGAAAATAAATATAAGAAAAGAAACAAAAAAAAGAAATACTCAATTTGCACTATAACTATTTGTGCTACAAACAGAGCTTCGAAGGATTTGTTCAAACAATAAAATAAATTAATCCAAGATTCCCCTTGAGTGAACTTCGGGCTGGCTCACAGCTTGGGAATCTGCTGAAATTAAGAAAATAATGAATGAACAAAAGAAGAAAGACAATAAGAACAGATAAAACATGAAAAAGTTCCAAAGAGAAACCAAAGAGATTAAGAATGCAATAACTGAAATAACAAATACAATAGCAGGGCTTAACAGTAGACTCTGTGAAACTGGGAAATAAATAAGCGAGATGGAAGATAAGGTAGTGGAAATCATACTCAAAGACCAGCAGAAAGAAAAAAAAGAGTGAAGAAAACTGAAGTCCATCTAAGAGACTTATGATACTCTATCAAAAGGAACAAGATTTTTATCATATTGATTCCAAAAGAAAAAGACAGAAATGCTATTTGAGGAAATAATAGTAGGCAATTTCATCAAATTAGGGAAGGAAGGGAAGGAAATACAAACAGATACATGAAGCTCAAAGAGTTTCATCCAAACCAAACTCAAACAGATGTATATCAAAACAATATAAAATTAAAATGCCAAAAATTCAATATAAAAAAAAATCCTAAAAATAGCTAGAAAAATCAAGGAACCACATACAAGGGAAACCCCACAAAATTATAAGCAGATTTATCAATGGGTCAGAGGGAGTGATTGATATTCAAAACTCTACATAAATAAAGCCTCAAAAAATAACAATGATGTAAAATAGATATAAATAAAAAAATAAAAACAAAGAAGGCCTCACACCAAGAAATTCACACTCAGGCTAAAACAAATTTGGAGGAGTGATAGTTTTACAGACAAACAACAACTGAAATAATAAATTCTCTTCTAAGAATTGGCTTTGTAAGAAGTAATAAAAGGTCTATTATAAAAGAAAGAGAATCTCATTAAGAAATATTTATATAGAGAGGAGGGGAATTAAAGTAGAGTTTGATAGAATTAACCCAGAATGAGATTAAGAAGATTACAAGTATACAATACTATATATAAGCCACAGGGTAATATTAAAAACCAAGAGCCTAGAGAAAAATAAATATGAAGTGCAAACACTGTACAGATGGAAGTTATCAAATTACCATGGAAGAGAACTAAAGAAACAAAAATGGATAGGGACAAACAGCAAAATTAACCAGACAATAAAGTAAAATGGCAACTATATTTCAGTGATCTCTATAAATGTTAATGACTGAAATTCATCATTTAAAAGGCACAGAGTTGTTTGTTGGATCAAAAACCAAAAATCCAAACTTCTCTTGTCTTCATGAGATTCTATGTACCTCAATTTTAAATGCTGATTCCAATTGAAGACTGGAAAGCAATCCTACAAGGAAAAGGAACACAAAAAAGGCAGACATACATAGTAATACTGGATAAAATGCAACTAAGTAACAAGAGACAGGAATGGATATTATGTAATTGTAAATCATAAATCCATCATGTAAACATAACATTCCTCAACATATATGCACCAAACAAAAGAGCACTGAAATATATAAGGCAGTGACTAAGAGAACTTACAATATTGACAGCATTATTGACATTAAAGAGGACTTCAACACCCCCTCTTATCAATGGACCATAAAACCAGATAGAAAATCAACAAAGAAACAACCCTAAATGGGAAGTTGGGACAGATGCATATAATAGAGTGCTTTATGCAACCCCCCAAAAGCTTACTACACATTCCATTCAAGGATACTTGAAAATAGACATCATAATGGGCAACAAAAAAAAGTACCAATAAATTCATAAAGATCAAAATTATCTCAAGTATCATTTCTGATTATAATGACATGAAACTACACTATTGAATGACTATTTGGTTGTAAAGGAAATCACAAGACAAATTAAAATATTAGTTAGAAAGAAATTAAAATAAAGACACAGGATACCAAATGGAAGCTTGTGTTCAAAACCTATGAGAATCAAAGAAAACAGTTCTAAGAGTGGTGCTTACAGCAATACAGGCCCACATCAAGAAACAAGGGTGTGGAGAAAAGGAAACCCTTACATAACACTTGCAGGTGAGTGGATGGATGGCCCTATGGAAAAGTGCATGGAAGTTTCTCAACATTTTTAAAATATATCGCTTTAAAACCCAGTAACCCCTGTCATAAATCTACCCTGTTTCTTTCTGTGAGTTCATGCCATTATAATCAGAAATGATACTTGAAGTAATTTTGATCTTTGTGAATTCATCGACACTTATTTGTGGTCTATCATGATGTCTGTTCTCAAAAAACATGAATTTGAAGGGGTATATGCATTCCTATGTTCATTGTAGCAATGTTTATGATAGCCAAGCTATGGAAACAAACTAAGTGTTCAATAGAAGATGAATGGATTAGGAAGATGAATGGATTGTGTATATTTATACAAAATAAGATATTCAACTATATGAAAAGATGAAATCTTGCCATTTGCAATAACATGGACGGAACTGGTAGGTTTTAATGCCAAATGACATAGTCAGAAGAAGAAAGACAAATGCCAGTTAATTTCATTCATATGTAGACTAGAGAACAAAACAAAACCTAGAAATCTAACTGTAGAATTAAAAGCACCACAGAGGAAAGGTAAGAGCTGGGGAGCAAAGGAGAAAAGGAGCCCAATGGACTATGGAAGAGGATTATGTGTGTCTTGGCATGAGCATGTTGTAACACACACCTGAAGAGGTATAAATCTGTACTCCCAATTCATATACAATGTTTTCAACCATTGTTACCTCAATAACAACATGAATAAAAAATTAAAACCAAAAAGTTAAACTTAGTCATAAACAAGCAAGTTAAAGATTATCAGTAACACTATCACACATAAAGCTGTGGCCATGAGAATGAGCATCTCAGATCTGTCCATGACCAGGAACAAATTACTATTATTTCCTCCCTTCACAGAGAAGGTCAGTGATCAACCTAAAACCATCCAAAAGTAAAGGTCAAGTCTGGGAATCAAACCCAGATGAGCTGGCTCTGTGTTTCTGTTATGAAACAACTTGGTCTATTCTATGGTGAATAAGAAATAAGCCAAAAGGCATAAAAATGCAGACAATTTTTTTCATACTGTCAGATTCTAGGTAAGGTTATAGTTACACAATTTTCCCCCATTATTATGTGATCTATATTTATTGAAGTTTTATAGTAAATAATTGTCACACTCTGAAGGAGTTGGGCCATTTAAACCATTGCCCACATTTTTTGAAATACATTAATTTATCAATAGAGTATTAGGGAATGAAAATTGATGATGTAGGAGACCCACAGTTTAAAAGTAGGCAAATCACCTAAAGAAGCATCCTATAGAATTATAGTTGTACTATTCAATTACATACATACATACAATATAATAAAGCATTTCAGACCTATATATAATATAGAATTTAAAGCACAGTTAAATGTTAATAATTGTTCATTATCCTTACAACATTATTAATTGTTTTGTAAAAATTTAATAGTTTACAAAATGTTTTCACACATACCAATTTTACATCAATGTTACTAGAAGACCATGCCCCAGGGATTATGTAGACTCTTACAAAGGGGATTTCTAATTTACCCAAATAGAGGGGTTCTCCAGCCTTTAGTGAGAAGAGAATCCCCACTCACCTGTAGCTGGTTGATCATCTGACCACTTCCACTGTTTTGAAAAATGTTGGACATTTTCAGCAGTATTTCTGATAAACTCTTCAGTTTGTCCACGAAATGAAAGGTATAATTAGCCTGCAAAGTAAAGCATACTTGAATATGTCTCTAGTTATGAAAACTCTTCAGCATACTTCACTTGAAAGGA